AGGAGGCGTGGAAGACCCCACAAAGTATACATATTCTTGATCAGGGCGACGAGCTAAATCGATTTAGCTCTGTCTGTCCGTATGTTTGAACGCGTCGATCTCAGAAGATATAAGAGCTAGAGACTTGAAATTTTGTTCCTAGGTTCGTGCACTAACCAGAGAACACATAGACCGGACAAGTAGTGTAAAGCGTTTTGCACACTTTTTTTCGGAAGTTATCTCCCAGACACTTCGTATTTGCTCGGCTCTTCACTTTTTGGGTTCCGGCTACGAAAATATACGAAAGCACAATCATTTCGCTTCATGCGCTCGACCGAGATGGTCGACTGTTGAACAAAAGATCCCTCTGCGCTGAATGTTTCCCTTGCTCTCTCTCTCTCACGATGCTCTCTGCTCTCTCAAATATGTATATGTATGTATTGGCGTGTGCCTCCCTCAACTTAGAATGGTGTGAACGATTTTGGGTTTACCTGATTAATCCCAGTGGGCAAACATATGCAGGTCAATTTGACACCTTTTTAAAAAGATGAATACGTAAATAGGTCAAATTGATCATTTTTACAAAAATTTGGATTAATCAGGTACCACATTTTTAAAAAACATTCAGGTACCACATTTTTAAAAAACATTCAGGTACCACATTTTTAAAAAACAATCAGGTACCACATTTTTAAAAACATTCATTCTGATAGGTAACCCACGATCATTGAATCAAAACAGGTACTTCAACATAAGCGCGCCTCTTCAATCAAAGCCCAAAATCGTTCACACTATTCTAAGTTGAGGGAGGCACACGCCAATGTTCATCTCCCATGCATACATACAAACACATACACACACGCACATGTAAAGGCACACAGGCATACAAGTGCTTCTACAAGTTATATCCCAAAATTGTGAGCAGCGCCTCCCATGCGTACACACAATCAAATTTATATACATACATACATACATATGTATGTGAACACTTCACAAGATCGACAAATGCTGGGCTTCAAAATTGCTACAGGCAGAAAGAGCTTCGCACACAATCATACAAAAAAAGTGAAAAGCCGAGCAAATACGAAGTGTCTGGGAGATAACTTCCGAAAAAAAGTGTGCAAAACGCTTTACACTACTTGTCCGGTCTATGTGTTCTCTGGTTAGTGCCAGACAACTAGTGGAAAGCTTTTTGCACGCTTTTTTTGAGGCTTTAGAACCCCCGACAGCTTTGGACTCGCTCGGCTCCTTACTTTTAGGCTCGAGCTACGAAAAAATACGAACGCACAATCATTTCGCTTCATGCGCTCGACCGAGATGGTCAACTTTTGAACAAAAGATCCCTCTATGCTCAATGTTCCCTTGCTCTCTCTCTCTCTCTCGATGCTCTCTGCTCTCTCGAATGTGTATATGTATGTATGCATGTGAGCACAAGCAGCAGCTCACGAAAATTGAAATTTCGTCGCAGCAAGAACCCATACCTTCCCTTCTGTGTGAAGAGTATACCGAACTTTTCAAAGCGTTTGCCATGCGTTTTCGTTATTATTTGTGGAAAGGGTATGAAAGCGTTGGTGCGCATAATTAAATTTTTTCGCGACGAGCATGCACACACACACTGTCCCTTGCTACATGTACTATGTACTGCATGTGAGCACAAGTAGGGCTCACAAGAATTGAAATTTCTTCGCAGCAAGAACCCATGTCTTCCCTTCTGAGTGAAGTGTATTCCGAACTCTTCAAGCCGTTTGCCATGCGTTTGCGTTATTATTTGTGGGAAGAGTATGAAAGCGTTGGTGCGCATAATGAAAATGTTTTCGCGACGAGCATGCACACACACACTTACAGTATGCTACATGTACTATGAGCATTTGTATGCCTGTGTGCAAAGCCCTTGCTGGCTATAGCAATTTGAAATCCTAGCATTTGCATTTGGTCGATCTTGTGAAGTGCTCACACTTACATAAATATGTTTGATTGTGTGTACGCAGGGGCCGCGATGCTCACAAATGATGGGGTTATCATTGTAGAAGCATTTCAGTGCCTTTATATGTATGTGCGTGTGTGTATGTTTATAAGTGTATGCATGCGACATGAGCATTGACGTGTGCCTACGACAACTTAGAATTGTGAGTACATGCTACATAGTACATGCTACATTGAAATAAAATCATCTACTTAAATATAAGCGCGCCTCTTCCGGTCAAACCCAAAATCGTTCACACAATTCTAAGTTGTCGTAGGCACACGTCAATGCTCATGTCGCATGCATATACTTATAAACATACACACACGCACATACATATAAAGGCACTGAACTGCTTCTACAATGATAACCCCATCATTTGTGAGCATCGCGGCCCCTGCGTACACACAATCAAACATATTTATGTAAGTGTGAGCACTTCACAAGATCGACCAAATGCAAATGCTAGGATTTCAAATTGCTATAGCCAGCAAGGGCTTTGCACACAGTCATACAAATGCTCATAGTACATGTAGCATACTGTAAGTGTGTGTGTGCATGCTCGTCGCGAAAACATTTTCATTATGCGCACCAACGCTTTCATACTCTTCCCACAAATAATAACGCAAACGCATGGCAAACGGCTTGAAGAGTTCGGAATACATTTCACTCAGAAGGGAAGGCATGGGTTCTTGCTGCGACGAAATTTCAATTTTCGTGAGCTGCTGCTTGTGCTCACATGCATACATACATATACACATTCGAGAGAGCAGAGAGCATCGAGAGAGCAAGGGAACATTGAGCATAGAGGGATCTTTTGTTCAAAAGTTGACCATCTCGGCCGAGCGCATGAAGCGAAATGATTGTGCGTTCGTATTTTTTCGTAGCTCGAGCCTAAAAGTAAGGAGCCGAGCGAGTCCAAAGCTGTCGGGGGTTCTAAAGCCTCAAAAAAAGCGTGCAAAAAGCTTTCCACTAGTTGTCTAGTCTATGTGTTCTGTGGTTAGTGTCTCTGGTTAGTGGTTCGTGTATAGCACGCGCATATCGAGTTTTGCTTTAAATATCGATAACTTCTCCCGTTATTTTGTTATCGATTAACAACATTATCGAAAACCAGGAATTTATATCTCCTACATCTTTAAAGCTAGAGTCTCCAAATATTATAAGTGTACTTATATGCATTTTATACAATTTAGGTTTTTGTCAAAATTTACCCTCCACCTCTAATTCAGCGCCTCAGCATCACATATGTAAAAGACGTATTTCAAAAGTATTTGTAGGGACTTGTCCTTTGGCAAAAACATGCATATCTATGTTATATTCATAATCTGAAAGTTTCATGGAGATAGTCCATCCAGAAGAAAAGGTTTTAAACAATTAACTTCCTTCTTGTGTAAGCAGAAAGACGCGAGGAATTATTGAAATATCAGCTACTCGAAGGCTTCATCTCGTACTTGAGCCGTCTCGACTAGAACTTTCTAACTTGTCATGATTTTTATTTTTATTCGAAAATTGACACACGATTGTCGAGCTCAATAAAATCAATTTTCTCCTGGGCAGTGTACGAATTGTTTTTGACAATAATATTCTGGTACTTTGGAGGCACTTTAAATAATGCTAGCTGGATTTTAAAAAATGCCAAATTTCCGGCCTGCAGCTAGATTACAATTTATCCAATTGGCAGTTGAAAAATGCCAGATCTGGCCGATAAAGAGCTAAGCTGGCAGCCTTGGTGGCTAGTGATTTCATACTTCATGAATATAATTATCAAACCTGCTTCTTCCAACTGTGTATTTATCGATATTTTATATAGTTCCATATGTAGCTAGCTTTCATGTATATTGTTAGGTGTAAACCAGCATTAAAAATGTTCGGAAATTTGAAAGTCTTTAAAAGTGTATTAGCGGCAGAGAAAGCAATTACTTTTTTAAATGGTAGCATAAAAATCATTAAAAGACAAAGTCATGTGTAAGTCTAAATTGATTAATTAATAATCAATTGATTATTTTGATTTTTCGGCAACCTTATATAATTTGTGTGTACTATTGTCATTTATTATCAATTTGAATTCTCTAGCGTGTCATACCGTAGTGCCCCACCGCCTCATTCAAAGGCAACTAGAATTGGAGCAGTAGCCGTTGGGGGGGCCATGTGGTGGTGGGTTATTTGGCACCTTTGGCATGAGCCAGATCACATCACGGTTAGTATTAAGTGATGTTCATGAATCAACTATAACTGTCTGTTTATAATTATTTATTCCAGGGAGAGTTTGACTACCCCAATGCTGCGAAATGGTCTAATTTCCACTTGGGAATCCCTCGTGATGAAAAATAGTAAAATATATTCACATTAAAATGTTATGAACAATTTTTCACTTACAGAGAAAAAATTAAAAATAAAATTAAATTTTGCAAGCCCGTACAATACAATGAGAATGCAATTCTTAGAGCTGAGTAATGTTACCAAACAGTTATCTAGTAATCTAGACGCTGGTGAAGTATTAAATGAGTATAATTTTGATAATTCTCATCTTCAAACGGGGACATCTATGTTGGTATCACTTTCTGTGTTGTCGCCTAAATCACTTGCTACTCCTCATAGTTCTAACTGTATCTAGCGTTGTATTGATTTGTCTATAACACCCATTGCTACTAGTGCATTGGATAATCAAGAGTCTACTACTAATAATAAATATCTTAAAAGCATTCTGTGGTTTTTCATCAAGTTCAAGAGTCTACTACTGATTCAAGTAATATATTAAAAGCATCGCCTTTGGTTGTTCATAGAGTGAATAACAATCAGCCGGTTATTTCGGATACTATTGTATCCGGTACTATTTATCGGTCGTCTCCCCTCGAAAGCCGATGTTCTCATCCAGGCTTTCATCCGACACAACGTGTGAAGCAAAATCAGCATATATTGCTGGAAATCTCCAGCAAAAGTTTTTTTCGAAATTAAAAATAAATGTACCTTGTGAATATTATACAGTTGTAAGAACAATTTCTTATGAAATCCCTTTTCACTATTGTGTATGCTTATTTTGTATATAAGATGCAATATCTTTGTCTGTATGCTGTATGGACAATGATCCATAAATTTATTGATCAATTGGGGTTTAGTTTAGGCATAAAGATCACGCTGAGCCTTTTCCCATGCAGCAATTGGACCATGTTCAGGTCGGTATTTAACATTGCATCCGTCCTGCTCGAAGCGATTGTCATCACGGAGCTCTTCATATCGTTCCCGATCATACTTGGTGAAGCCCCATTTCTTTGATACGTAGATCTATAATAAAATACATATTAATGTCAGAAGTTAACAGGAATATTTGCTTTTTACCTTTTGGCGGCCGGGGAACTTGAACTTTGCGCGTCGCAATGCTTCTACAACTTGGGCTTTGTACCTGTCACTGGAGCGCACAGACATAATCGGTTGTCCAATTCTTACACGAGCAACAGTTCCCTGCGGCTTGCCGAATGCACCTCTCATACCAGTTTGCAGCCTAAGAAATACATAATAACATATTTTAATGCAATTTGCACTTATGAAATATCAAAACAAGTAAGAAGGCTCTAGTCGAGACTGCTCGACTAGAGACTGCGCTACATTGTCGGCAATTTATTTATTTGTTTGATAATTTTCCTTGAAGTTGGACTATGTTCATGAAACTTTCAGAACGTGATCATGTTTATTCCAAAGCACAAGTCAATACTTTTTGAAATTGGCAGCGAAGGAGCGTAGCATCCAAAGTCTGTAATTTACAAAATCTTCGTATTCATTAAATATACATATTTATATATATACACAATGAATCTGAAGTCTCCAGTTCTAATAGAATTCAAATTGGGCTGAAAAACGAGATCAATTTATCCATTATTCTCGAAAAAAAAAAAAAAAAAAATTTCTGGTGAGATACATAAGTATGCATGCAAAATTTCACTTCTCTAGCTTTTTCTTCCGAGTTCGACGTGCACATACGGACGGACAGACAGGCTATATGGACTAGCCATGATCAAGAATATATATAATTTATGGTGTCTGCGAGGATTCCTTATGTCCGTTACATACTTTTAGCAAAACCCTTATACCCATATTTCCCATTTTCAATGGGTTGAGGGTATAATAGAGACATAAAAACTAAAATATAAATAATCTTACCTATCAGCTCCAGCACATGACAACATTTTGTTGATGCGAATGACGTGGAACGGATGCAGGCGCATGCGGATATGGAATTGATCCTTTCCACAGAACTTCACCAAGTACTTGTTACAGCAAATGCGTCCAGCTTCTAAAGCCTCGCTACTCAATTGTTCATACTCATCGGACACCAAATGCACACATAAAGGAAAGTCCTCGACAGTTGCCTTTTTCCTACCTAAATCAAAAATTCGAATTTTCGGGTCGGGTACACCACGACAAAATCTTGACTTAGGATAGGGCTTGTTTTTACAGTATCGGTAACTAAAACACAAAAATTGAGTTAAGTAAAACTTAAGTTAATGGATATGATAAAAATATATGAACATACCATCTAGCTGGCCGACGACCCATATTGAATCTAAAAATATTGAAATAAATAGTTTAGAATTTCTAGACATGTTCAAACTAATTAATGGAAGGATTCGTAATGAATCTACTTTATCGATTAATAATTAAGAACATATAATAATCTGATGTTTTTAGATAACCTATTAATACGAACGTACGTACCTTTCACAGCGCAGCTCAAAACGAAAGGAGGAATTGGTAGGCAAGCGGAAGTAGGTACCAAATATGTTTTTTTAATATGTTATCGTTAATCGTTCAAACAGAGCTTGTCAAGATAGTAACTTCTTTTTAAAAGCTTGTACCACTAACCACAGAACACATAGACCGGACAAGTAGTGTAAAGCGTTTTGCACACATTTTTTCGGGAGTTATATTATGTGAGCACTTCACAAAATCGACCAAATGGAAATGCTGGGCTACAAAATTGCTACAGGCAGCCCGAGCTTCACACACAGGCATACAAATGCTCATAGTACATGAGCATGGCAATCGATTTGAAAAGTTAGGTATACTCTTCACACAGAAGGGAAGAAACGGGACTCTAACGCGACGAAATTTCAATTTTCGTGAGCTGCTGCTTGTGCTCACATGCATACATACATATACATATTTGAGAGAGCAGAGAACAGAGAGATAGAGAGAGAGCAAGAAAAATTGAGCATAGTGGCTTCTTTTGTTCAACATTTGACCATCTAGGTCGAGCGCATGAAAAGAAATAATTGTGCGTTCGTATATTTTCATAGCCCGAACCTATAAGTGAGGAGCCGAACAAAAACGAAGTTTTCTGGAGTCGTAATGCTCGAAAAAAAAGTGTGCAAATTGCTTTACACTACACTATGGGTAAAAATACCGATAGTGCGGCATAAACCTAATTTGTTTATCTCGAAATCGCAATTATTATTTTTTTTTTAAATCTCATTAAGATGATTCCAATAGACGTAAAAACAATTTTTGTTTAAGTTTTGGTAATGGTAATGTTTTCAGCTTTGTCAGCTGATTCAGGATTGCATTGTGAATTGCAAAAAGTGTGAGAAATAATTCCCATCTTTCGGCGTAAAAAAAGACCATTGCAATTAATATTTATGAAATAGTTTAATTACGGAAAGTTTGTCAAAAAGTATGCTAAATTATATGTTTAAAAAGATTTTCTGTGCTTCTTGATTTAGTGTGAAATACTCCAATGTGTTGATAATTGAATTTACAACCGTAACCTTAAAAAATATTTCTGTGTTTCGTGGAAGATAACTTATAATGTTAGAGCCCGTTGTGAAATGTTTAAGTGGCAAGGTATTCACTAAACGTTCCTTAATCAAATGTTATAAAGGGTTTTTGCTCCTTTTTGCTCCATTTGGCCAAATATCGTATGTTGCAGATACATACGTGATTTTGCTAGAAGTTTGGAACAGCAACAATAAGCAAGAAAGCGCTGTTAGAAATTTTATATTGGAAAATGTAAACAGCGAAAATATATCTTATGTGCAACTGGACATTATTATGCAAAAAGTCTAAAATTTTAGATTATTTACTAAATATAATTTGCGCAAATGTAATCGTAATCTGAATTGATTTAAGCTAAAACATACGCCTAGGCTAGCAGCTAGTGTAGCAACAATATGAATATGGGGGCTCAGAAGACCTTAAGCTATAACAAAGCAGGACCGCGATTAAAGAGGAAATTAGCTTCTGAACTTGCCTCAGAGAGCAATAATTCAAAGCTCATATTGATACATGCTGATTTGGTTTCATCAAAGAAATTAAAAGAAACCAATAAAACTTATGTAATACAAAAAACTATGAGCAGTGACAATTTATGGGATATGGAAAATAAACTATTATTGAATGGGTCAGTACCCATAACTGCTGAAGGTGGCATTAGCGTTTTTAATTGAAAACGGGGTATCTAAGCAATAATATCTCAACATAAAAGCATTAAATAAAAAGCATGGATGTGACATTTATCCTCCCTACTCAGAAATCTGCCAACTAAAATGCAAATGTAGTCTATATTAAATTTAAAACTTATAATATCTATTAAATTGTTTGCAATCGTACCGATACTCATCGGTAAATACATCACATGTATGGGGAAAAGAGTGAGGGCGTGGCACAAATAAAGAAAAAACAAGTAAGAAAGCTCTAGTCGAGACTGCTCGACTACGAGATCCCCTGAACCCTTGGAGCAATAGATATTTCAATAATTTTTTCTTTCAGCTTACACAAGATATAATTTCATAACTGGTTTTCTATAAGGTTTTTTATCGATAAAAAAGATCGGGATGAGTTGTCGATTTTTAATGATAAACTTGATATGCGCTTACTGTAATTACGGACATTTAAAAAAAAATTTGAAGTCTCTAGCTCTTATATCTTCTGAAATCGACGCGTTCATACATACGGACAGACGGACGGACGGACAGACGGACAGACGGACAGACAGACGGACAGGGCCAAATCAACTCAGCTCGTCGCCCTGATCAAGAATATATATACTTTGTGGGTCTGCCACGCCTCCTTCTACCTGTTACATACATTTCAACAAAACCATTATACTCTGATTTCCCATTGAAAATGGGTTCAGGGTATAAAAATCCGAAATTTGGTATTAATATTACTAACGTGTGCGCAAATTTTCAAGGCTCTATCTTTAAATTTACAGTTAATGCCGAACTATCGGTATTTTTACCCATAGTGCACTGCATGTCCGGTTTATGTGTTCTATGGTTAGTGCCAGAGAACACATGGACTAGACATGTAGAACAAACTTTTTCAACACCGAAAAAATGCGCTGAAGAGACCGGACAACCTCGTATTTGGTCGGCTCGGTCGTTTGAGGCTCAACCAGTGAAAATAAGGCACGACAAAATCAGTGTGCTGCGACTGCTGTCACGAAATGCACGCACTACCAAATGAAGCACGGCTATGCGCTCTATTTCCCTTACTCACCCTTACTCTATGGTCTCTCGAATAGCAGCAGCGCACAAAAAATGAATATTGTTCGCGACGGTCCCAGCTCGTTCCTTATGAGTGAAGGGTATACCGAAATTTGTAAAGCGTTCGCCACGTTCATACAAAATGTTAGCGTTTTCATGATTATTTCTAAGAAGGGTATGAAATCGTTGGTGCTCATAAAAATATGATTTTGCGACGGGCATGCGGGCATGAGTATTTGTATGCCTGTGTGCGAAGCTCTTGCTGCCTGTAGCAATTTTACAGTTCACCATTTGCATTTGGTCGATCTTGTGAAGTGCTCACATACATATGTATGTATGTATATAAATTTGATTGTGTGTACGCATGGGCGGCGCTGCTCACAATTTTGGGATATAACTTGTAGAAGCACTTGTATGCCTGTGTGCCTTTACATGTGCGTGTGTGTATGTGTTTGTATGTATGCATGGGAGATTAACATTGGCGTGTGCCTCCCTCAACTTAGAATGGTGTGAACGATTTTGGGCTTCGATTGAAGAGGCGCGCTTATGTTGAAGTACCTGTTTTGATTCAATGATCGTGGGTTACCTATCAGAATGAATGTTTTAAAAAATGTGGTACCTGATTGTTTTTTAAAAATGTGGTACCTGAATGTTTTTTAAAAATGTGGTACCTGAATGTTTTTTAAAAATGTGGTACCTGATTAATCCAAATTTTTTTAAAAATGATCAATTTGACCTATTTTCGTATTCATCTTTTTAAAAAGGTGTCAAACTGACCTGCATATGTATGCACGAGTGCAAGGGTTAAAAAAACACATCCCATTTTGCCCACTGGGATTAATCAGGTAAACCCAAAATCGTTCACACCATTCTAAGTTGAGGGAGGCACACGCCAATACATACATATACATATTTGAGAGAGCAGAGAGCATCGTGAGAGAGAGAGAGCAAGGGAAACATTCAGCGCAGAGGGATCTTTTGTTCAACAGTCGACCATCTCGGTCGAGCGCATGAAGCGAAATGATTGTGCTTTCGTATATTTTCGTAGCCGGAACCCAAAAAGTGAAGAGCCGAGCAAATACGAAGTGTCTGGGAGATAACTTCCGAAAAAAAGTGTGCAAAACGCTTTACACTACTTGTCCGGCCTATGTGTTCTCTGGTTAGTCTCTCTGGTTAGTGTTACTGATGATATACAGCACTACTGTGCAGATTAATATATCACGTTTTTGTTCCATTTCCAAAAATCCGGTTATTTTGACATCATTGATTTTTAGAAATAATGACAAGTATCTTTTAAAGGTTATTTGTGTTACTTACCTTTGAAAATATCGATATTTAAAACGCTAATATTCAGATATAGATTCGCGTGGTAAGGCACTTTACGGAAAAATAAGAATGCTAAGAAAACAGGCAAGACAGAGAAGAGAATTCCTATATTCCAAAGCACTGAATGAACGGATTCTAAAAAAAAGAAAAGATTTGGATGTTATAAGTGATCACTTAAAAAGAAACACATTCCTGAGGTCTTCCAACATTTTGGATGGAGTTTCGGTCTATAATTCTCTTAAATATAGTGGAGGTAATGTTTGAATAAAAACTATACATATGTACATACATACATACATAAATACAGTGTGAGTCACTGAAAATCGTAAACCTATTAATATGCATTCGTCAGAGTAAATGCATAAAAAAAATGTTACAAAATTTAGAAAAATATTTAAAAACTATCATGGGTTTATTGATGTTTTTCGAAATAAAATAAAATTTAAGTTGAAAACATTTAAAAAAAATCAAACTAATCAAAAATCAAAATTTCATCGTTCATCGAAAATCGAACAACTATTTTTCTTCGACAAAAAAAGTTTAACTAAAGTAATCACTTACTTTAGTACTTTGTTGGTCTCCCTTTGGCATTTTTTATCGTTTCTATACGTTTTGGCATAGAGTCCACCAGCTTTCAACAAGTTTCCACAGTTACACTGCTGGTCTTGGGTTAGACGCACTGGTACTTTCGTTAATATTTACTTTATAACTTTTATTTGGAAAGCAATTTAAAAAAAGTAAGAAAGCTTTAGTCGAGACTGTCCGACTACGAGATCCCCTGATCCCCTCGCACATGCACTGCAGTGCAGTGGTGGCTTACTATGGGAAATTAATTGTTTAAAAACTTTTCTTGTCGATGGACGAACTTCATGAAGCCTTTAGATTATGATTATAACATTCATAGATATGCAGGCATTTGCCAAAGCACAAGTCTCTAGTATTTGAAATACGCCTTTTACAAATGTGATGGTGAGGGTGTGAATTAGGGGTGGGGGTAAATTTTGACAAAAACCGAAATTGTATATAATGCGTCTAAATATATATTTTAAATTGGGAGACTCGAGCTTTAAAGATGTAGAATATATAATTTTAAAACTGATTTTCGATAAGGTTTAATGAAACGAAATAACGGGATGAGTTATTGATTTTTAGAGATAACTCGATATGCGCTCTATATATACGGACATTTGAGGTCTCTAGCTCTTATATTTTCTGAAATCGACGCGACGCGACATACGGTCAGAGTGACGGACAGGACCAAATCGACTCAGCTCGTCGCCCTGATCAAGCATACAGTATGTCCATTAATTGTTTTCAAAACAAAAAAATTCGTACAAATTCAACTAACATCATATTTTATTAGGAAAGGCAATTTTTCTCAGAATTTTTTTTTTACATTACTTTTGTTTCATATATTCTTAAAGAAAATAAATAACAAAAATAATAAGAATAGCAACAAAAAGATACAAAACAAATAAGAAGACTCTAGTCGAGACTGCTCGACTAGGAGATACCCTGAACCCTCTAATCTGATATTCTAATCACTCTGCACTTCTTTTCGGCACACATACATACAAACGAACGTATTCGAACGCGATCTGCTAACTGCGCAGTAAGCAGCGACTGCGCTTGGGCTGCGCTGCAGTGTGGGCAACATTATAAGAATTTATTTATTGAATAATTTAATTTCTAGACGTACAATCTTAATAAAACTTTTAGAACATAATCATAATGTTCAAATGTGCGTACAAGTCTCTAGTACTTGAAATACGCCTTTTACAAAGGTGAGGGTGAGGGGGTGGATATAAAGGTGGGGGGGGGGGTAAATTACAACAAAAATCGAAATTATATAAAATACATATAAGTCTACATTTAAAATTTGGAAGCTCTAGGTCTAAAGGTGTAGGAGATATAATAAAATAACTAGCGTTTGATAAGGTTTTTAATTGATAATAAATTATCGGAAGTAGTTATCGATATAAAGAGAAAGACTTGGTATGCGCGTGCTATACACGGACCTAGGAAAAAAAATTTCAAGACTCTAGCTCTTATATCTTCTGAGATCGACGCGTTCATACATACGCACGGACGGACAGAGCTAAATCGACTCAGCTCGTCACCCTGATCAAGAATATATATACTCTATGGGGTCTGCCACGCCACCTTCTGCCTGTTACATACATTTAACAAAACCATTATACTCTGATTTCCCATTGAAAATCAGGGCTGTCCATTAATTCTTTGCAAAATGCAAACATTAATATTATAAGATCTGTATCTCTTTCAGATCGGTATGGAATTGGCTAATATTTGGTATGTCCACCATTAGCTTCCACCTCTGAGGCGTCGCGACATCGACAATATTAATTCATTTATGTCGTAGTATTCCGGTATTTTGAGCCACCCCTCGTATGCAACGAATTAGCTCGTTTTTCGTCTTAGGGCTCCGTTTGGCGACTTTTTTCTTTAGTAAAGCCCACAAATTCTCAATCGGATTGATATCCGGTCTTTGGGGTGGGGTGTCAATAACTTTTCTGCAGTTATATAGAAGCCAAGTGCGACACAGCAGTGACTTGTATGTCGGATCATTATCCTGATACAGCTTATATTTTAGTTTGCTGGGGGTTTCAGGATTAATGAAGCCAAAGTTGTGCGCGCTTTTTGTCAATTCGTTCTTCAAAATATTCAAATAAAATTCCTTCGTCATGATATCGTCGAATATTCTCAGCTCTCCCACACCTTTCGAAGAAATACAACCCCACACCATCACTGATAGCTTGCCAAACTTAACAGTGGGCACAATGTTTTTGGCGTGGAGGACTGTTTTGGGTTTCCTCCAAACTTTTCCAAGGCCATCATTATAAAACAACATTATCTTTGTCTCGTCGCAAAAGATAACATTATTCCAATAGTTAGGAGGACAGTCAATATGAAGTCTTGCGAAGGTCAGACGTTTCTCAATATTTACAGCAGACAGCAACGGTTTCTTTCTTGCCACATGTGTGGAGTATTTGTGTAAATTGAGAACTTTTCTCACAGTCTCGCGACACACTGTCTTTTGAAAGTTTAACTTAATGTCCGTCATGCCCGGAGACTTGTGTGTGGTTTGTTTTCCACTGTCTTAAGAATTTGAGAACAATCTCGTCGAGAGAGCTTTGCTGGAATGCCTTTAGAGCTGTTTAGCTCCAGTCTATTTTCAATTTCTGCCCGATTAATAATATTATAAACTGTTCTTAAACATTTCAGCTAACTCCTTGATGGTTTTTGATACTAATTGTATCAAATTGTCATCGGTGCGTTTACCAGGCATTGCGAAAATTTAAATTTTATGAAAAATAGTAGTGATCCCACGACTTTATTAAAACGAATGAATTCGCGGAAGACTTGTGAAAATAGACGCCGCGAGTCGCATTTAATTTTGATGTTCCATTAGTTTTTTCCCGTCTTCTTTCAACTAATGTTTGCATTTTGCAAAGAATTAATGGACAGCCGATATTTGCTGTTTTTTATACCCTGAACCCATTGAAAATGGGAAATCAGGGTATAATGGTTTTGTGAAAAAGTATGTAACGGGCAGAAGGAGTCATCGCAGACCCCATAAAGTATATATATTCTTGATCAGCACGACGAGCTGAGTCGATATAGCCCTGTCCGTCCGTCCGTCCGTATGAGTGCGTCGGTCTCAGAACTTATAAGAGCTAGGGAGCTGAAATTTGGCATGCATACTCGTGTATACCATACGCAGTACGAGTTTTTTTTCGATAACTCGCCCGATAAATTTTTTATCGAGAATAATTGAAAAATTGATTTTGTTTTTTCAGCCTAATTTGAACACTTTTAGACCTGGATCAAATTTGCGTTGCATATAATGTTAATAGATACAAAGATTTTGTCATTTACAGATTTTGGATACCACGCCCCCTTCGCTCCCAATTTGTAAAAAAAGCATTTCAAGTACTAGAGACTTGTGCTTTGGAATGTACACACATTTTAACTATATGATTACGCTCTTAGAGCGTAATCATAATATTGCCCACACTGCAGCGCAGCCCAAGCGCAGTCGCTGCTTACTGCGCAGTTAGCAGAGCGCGTTCTAATATGTACATACGTGTGTATGTATGTGTGCCGAAAAGAAGTGCAGAGTGATTAGAATATCAGATTAGAGGGTTCAGGGTATCTCCTAATCGAGCAGTCTCGACTAGAGTCTTCTTACTTGTTTTGTTTTGCAAACAATTAATGGGCATACTGTATATGTATATACTTTGTGAGGTTTGCCACGCCTCCTTCTGCCTGTTACATACATTTCAACAAAACCAAAACAACCAAAACCAAAATCAGCAACATTTTTTTAAACTTGTTTCATATTTAAATACTTTTATTAAAATTCTAATTAATACATTTTTATATAATTCGTTTCGTTTATTGAAAACATACATATCTTTAATATATGAATAAAGTTACAGACTTTATAATGGTATATGAGCATATAAGTATTCTATTCTGCACATTGATATATCGGACAGATCACCGATAGAGAATACACAAATTATTTGTAAATGATTTTTATGGGCGGGAGTAAAATCTCTTCTATAACAATTCTTGAACATCATGTCAAAACCAAGGAAGCCCTTCAAGTACCTGGTGCGTCGCTAATTGTCTCGACGGTTGGAAATTTTACAATATGCTCAAGCTACGAAAGTCTCCGACAATGCGGTGCAATCGGGAAAGCTCATACTACAGAATACGGCCTTGTGGAAGGCAATATGGACAAGCGAAAAGTACGAGGGATTAGCTACAAAAATGATCTACTATTACTAGTATTTACTGTGAAATTTTAATGTATTGAAAATTTAAATTTAAATTTGAAATTTAAATTCAGATGGTCTATCGAGAAATAAAATTAGAGATAATGTGAAATGTAGTACCTCAGATATTGCTTTAGTTTAGATGGTGCTTGAACAAAGAATTGGCGGTGTTATTTGTGGCGAGAGTAGCTAAAATTTTCTGTGTTTCAGAGGTGATACTTGTAAGGCGGTGTCTTGGTAGCGGGTTTTACATGTTTTATTGTTTTCATTTTTTAAATAAACATATCGTCTAATTGTCGAATTTAGTGGACAACTAACCCACTATGTTGAGCATAAGTTCCCAGACCACATTTCGGTTCGGGCTACACAAATTTTGGAACTAAAAATCATTTGAATTCCTACGAGCGGCCGAGATCGGTCGACTATTAAACGAAGTCCCGCTGTGCTC